GGCTGAGGCAGGAGACTCGCTTGAGCCCAGGAGTTGGAGGTTGCTGTGAGCTGTGATGCCACCGCACTCTACCCAGGGTGACAGCTTGAGGCTCTTATCTAAAAAAAAAAAGGTTTTATGTTAAGTGAAATAAGCCAGAAGCATGTAACTCAAGCCTGTAATCCCAGCACTTTGGGAGTTTGAGGCCAGGAATTCCGGACCACCAGGGCAATGTGCTAAACAAAAAAAGATTGTTGAGAAGATTAATCCTTGTAAACTCCTTAGCATAGTGTTTGTCAAGCATGTAGTAAATGTTTAATATGTGATTACTACTAACGCGGCATTCAAGATTTTTCTAATCTAACCTCTCTCTGTCTTTCTAGCCTCACCTGCCACATCATTGAATTACTTTCCTAATACCCAATTCTTTGTCATGCCTCTATGCTTTTCATTCTCCTTAGAATCCTTTTCCTAAGGCCTGGCTCAGGTGGTTCACAACTGTTACCCTAGTACTCTGGGAGGCGGAGGTGGGTGAAGACACAGTGTGAGCAAGAGAGAGATCCTGTCTCTACTAAGAATAGAAAAACTAGGGCAGTGCCTGTGGCTCAAAGGAGTAGGGCGCTGGCCCCATATGCCAGAAGTGGCAGGTTCAAACCCAGCCCTGGCCAAAACCTGCCAAAACAAAAAAAAAGAATAGAAAAACTAGCCAGCATTTGGGTGGGTACCTGTAGTCCCAGCTACTTGAGAGGCTGAGGCAGAAGGATTGATTGAGCCCAAGAGTTTGAAGTTGCTGTGAGCTATAATGCCACAACACTCTACCCAGGGCTCAGAATAAGACTCTGTTAAAAAACAAAAACAAAAACCCTTTCCTTACAGGATAGTGAAGTCTTCTTGAACATCTTCTTACCCTCTTCAATTCCCATAATCAGACAAATCATGCCTTACATATTCTCTGGAATAGTTTAATCTCAAATAGTCTGCTGTATGTTAAGACTCAATTCCCGGCTCAGCGCCTGTGGCTCAAGTGGCTAAGGCGCCAGCCACATACACCTAAGGTGGTGGGTTTGAATC